ATGGATTAACATCGATTTAGCTGGGGCAACACAAATAAATAAATGAATGAATCTACTGGTTTCATAATTTGAACCAAAAGTGGTGCATTTTGCACTATTTTTTTTATTTATTATTATTATGTCCTATTTCTATTATGTTGCAATGTTGGAGGAGCTCGGGGTCTACGATTTTAAATGCCAAAATTACACTGTAGCTAGCATCTGATAACAAAAACCCTTGAACCTTGAACCTTAGTGGTGTTTATTTTTCACGGAGTTCAGTTGCTAAGCGATCACACAACGTCACGTCCGGTATTTCCACAACACAAATGGATTAACATCGATTTAATACTTTAATGTAGCCTTTGTTTCTGCTAACAGAGGTGTCGACCAGCTGGGGCCACAAGAAAATCGGCGAAATCGAGTGTGACGATAAAAAAATTAATTAAAAACATCTAATTTTGACAATAAAAACCGACCAATAGTCTTGGTAGAGCATTTGATGGCACTTCCGGGTATTTCTCCACTGGTTGGGCCATGTTAACAATACCGTGTAACTGTCACGTTTGAAGGGACGAAACCGTGACATATTCACGTCTCCCAGCGTGGTAGATCGTCACATGTTCACGTCTTGCCGTGATACCGGGTTGGTTGACTAAAGGTTACAGTGGGTTATGAACCTCAGAGCCCCATGGTAGACAGCATGCAGTGGTCTGTGAGGGGGTTAAGGTGGGTTATGAACAGGGGTGCACATAACTGGTACGCAGGTACGCATGCGCGGCAACAATCTGAAATGCGTACCGTAACTTGTCTCACAAAGCGCATTTGCGTACCGACGTAGCTTTTCCAGAAGGCGGTTAGATCACCGCCAGTTGGATCAGCTGATAGAGGTGTTATGGTTCTATGTTCCTGCCTGTTGGATCAGCTGATAGAGGGGTTATGGTTCTATGTTCCTGCCTGTTGGATCAGCTGATAGAGGTGTTATGGTTCTATGTTCCTGCCTGTTGGATCAGCTAATAGAGGTGTTATGGTTCTATGTTCCTGCCTGTTGGATCAGCTGATAGAGGTGTTATGGTTCTATGTTCCTGCCTGTTGGATCAGCTGATAGAGGTGTTATGGTTCTATGTTCCTGCCTGTTGGATCAGCTAATAGAGGTGTTATGGTTCTATGTTCCTGCCTGTTGGATCAGCTGATAGAGGTGTTATGGTTCTATGTTCCTGCCTGTTGGATCAGCTGATAGAGGTGTTATGGTTCTATGTTCCTGCCTGGTGGATCAGCTGATAGAGGTGTTATGGTTCTATGTTCCTGTCTATCAGCTGATAGAGGTGTTATGGTTCTATGTTCCTGCCTGTTGGATCAGCTGATAGAGGTGTTATGGTTCTATGTTCCTGCCTGTTGGATCAGCTGATAGAGGTGTTATGGTTCTATGTTCCTGCCTGTTGGATCAGCTGATAGAGGTGTTATGGTTCTATGTTCCTGTCTGTTGGATCAGCTGATAGAGGTGTTATGGTTCTATGTTCCTGCCTGTTGGATCAGCTGATAGAGGGGTTATGGTTCTATGTTCCTGCCTGTTGGATCAGCTGATAGAGGTGTTATGGTTCTATGTTCCTGCCTGTTGGATCAGCTGATAGAGGTGTTATGGTTCTATGTTCCTGCCTGTTGGATCAGCTGATAGAGGTGTTATGGTTCTATGTTCCTGCCTGTTGGATCAGCTAATAGAGGTGTTATGGTTCTATGTTCCTGCCTGTTGGATCAGCTGATAGAGGTGTTATGGTTCTATGTTCCTGCCTGGTGGATCAGCTGATAGAGGTGTTATGGTTCTATGTTCCTGCCTGTTGGATCAGCTGATAGAGGTGTTATGGTTCTATGTTCCTGCCTGTTGGATCAGCTGATAGAGGTGTTATGGTTCTATGTTCCTGCCTGTTGGATCAGCTGATAGAGGTGTTATGGTTCTATGTTCCTGTCTGTTGGATCAGCTGATAGAGGTGTTATGGTTCTATGTTCCTGTCTGTTGGATCAGCTGATAGAGGTGTTATGGTTCTATGTTCCTGTCTGTTGGATCAGCTAATAGAGGTGTTATGGTTCTATGTTCCTGCCTGCTGGATCAGCTGATAGAGGTGTTATGGTTCTATGTTCCTGCCTGTTGGATCAGCTGATAGAGGTGTTATGGTTCTATGTTCCTGCCTGTTGGATCAGCTGATAGAGGTGTTATGGTTCTATGTTCCTGCCTGTTGGCGTCAGCTGATAGAGGTGTTATGGTTCTATGTTACTGCCTGTTGGATCAGCTAATAGAGGTGTTATGGTTCTATGTTCCTGCCTGTTGGATCAGCTGATAGAGGTGTTATGGTTCTATGTTCCTGCCTGTTGGATCAGCTGATAGAGGTGTTATGGTTCTATGTTCCTGCCTGTTGGATCAGCTAATAGAGGTGTTATGGTTCTATGTTCCTGCCTGTTGGATCAGCTGATAGAGGTGTTATGGTTCTATGTTCCTGTCTGTTGGATCAGCTGATAGAGGTGTTATGGTTCTATGTTCCTGCCTGTTGGATCAGCTGATAGAGGTGTTATGGTTCTATGTTCCTGCCTATCAGCTGATAGAGGTGTTATGGTTCTATGTTCCTGCCTATCAGCTGATAGAGGTGTTATGGTTCTATGTTCCTGCCTGTTGGATCAGCTGATAGAGGTGTTATGGTTCTATGTTCCTGCCTGTTGGATCAGCTAATAGAGGGGTTATGGTTCTATGTTCCTGTCTATCAGCTGATAGAGGTGTTATGGTTCTATGTTCCTGCCTGTTGGATCAGCTAATAGAGGGGTTATGGTTCTATGTTCCTGTCTATCAGCTGATAGAGGTGTTATGGTTATATGTTCCTGCCTGTTGGATCAGCTGATAGAGGTGTTATGGTTCTATGTTCCTGCCTGTTGGATCAGCTGATAGAGGTGTTATGGTTCTCTGTTCCTGTCTATCAGCTGATAGAGGTGTTATGGTTCTATGTTCCTGTCTGTTGGATCAGCTGATAGAGGTGTTATGGTTCTCTGTTCCTGTCTATCAGCTGATAGAGGTGTTATGGTTCTATGTTCCTGTCTGTTGGATCAGCTGATAGAGGTGTTATGGTTCTATGTTCCTGCCTGTTGGATCAGCTAATAGAGGTGTTATGGTTCTATGTTCCTGCCTGTTAAGGACCACCTACATTATATTATTTTGTTCTGCAAAACAAGATTCTGATAAAAGGGTTAATATTGGGACAAAAATGAAATCATAATTCTGAGAAAAAAGTGAATATTCAGATAAACAAAAAACTTATGTGAATTTTTATTAAATTCTGAGAAAAAAGCTAAAACTATTATAATTGTTATATATAATCTAATTTATATGATATAACATTTAAATATATTATATCATTATTACATTCACATACAACATAAAGGAGGAGGCTTCCCATTGTTCCCATGACTTTATTAACAAAGATCAATAAACACTTAACCTCCGGAGAGCAACTTCATACATCACACACATCTAATGAGAATACACACACCTGAGAGCCACACACACACCTGAGAGCCACACACACACACACACACACCTGAGAGCCACACACACACCTGAGAGCCACACACACACCTGAGAGCCACACACACACCTGAGAGCCACACACACACCTGAGAGCCACACACACACCTGAGAGCCACACACACACCTGAGAGCCACACACACACACCTGAGAGCCACACACACACCTGAGAGCCAAACACACACCTGAGAGCCAAACACACACACCTGAGAGCCACACACACACACCTGAGGAATATATTATATATATATATATATCATATATAACTCACACACTTTAATATAGCAGAAACCCACGCATCATAAAAACACACACACACAGAGACACATGAGCTGAGGAAGAATCACTGGGTGGATGTTCATAATCTACAGATAAGAAGATAGAGGCGGGGGGGGGGGGTGAGGGGGGGGGCAGTGAGAGGAAACGGGAATGAAATGATTTTTGAGGAAACCTTGATTTACGCTCCTTTAATAACAAATACTGGAACAGCCCCCAGAGGGTCGTCACGGCGACGTCACACGGGCTGGTCGTCACGGCGACGTCACACGGGCTGGTCGTCACGGCGACGTCACACGGGCTGGTCGTCACGGCGACGTCACACGGGCTGGTCGTCACGGCGACGTCACGCTCGCTGGTCGTCACGCGCGCTGGTCGTCACGGCGACGTCACACGGGCTTGGTCGTGGTTTTGTAGACGATCGTGTCCTGTTGCGACAGCGCCGAGTGGGCGGAGCCTGCGGCAGCCGGCCTGTGGGAGCGCTGCTTCCTGGACTTCAGGAAGCAGTAGGTCAGGATCACCAACAGAGCCAAGATGGCCACCGACAGGCAGACGGCCAGCGCGATGTTACCTGAAGACGAGACGTCAATTCCTGTCAGCTGAGTTCACTTCCTGTCAGCTGACACACTCACAGAGAAACAAACAACAACGTGTCCGCCATGTTTGTAGTTTTACCTGAGTCACTTTCCTCTTCCGCCTCGAAGCGGCCAAATATCCCTTTGAAGAAGACGTTACGCTCTGCAGACAGGAAGTAACAGTCACAAACAGGAAGTAACAATCACAAACAGGAAGTAACAGTACCTGTGACCCCCCCCTGCAGGTGGCAGTATAAACAGTATAAGTACATGCAGTACCTGTGACCCCCTGCAGGTGGCAGTATAAACAGTATAAGTACATGCAGTACCTGTGACCCCCCTGCAGGTGGCAGTATAAACAGTATAAGTACATGCAGTACCTGTGACCCCCCTGCAGGTGGCAGTATAAACAGTATAAGTACATGCAGTACCTGTGACCCCCTGCAGGTGGCAGTATAAACAGTATAAGTACATGCAGTACCTGTGACCCCCTGCAGGTGGCAGTATAAACAGTATAAGTACATGCAGTACCTGTGACCCCCTGCAGGTGGCAGTATAAACAGTATAAGTACATGCAGTACCTGTGACCCCCCTGCAGGTGGCAGTATAAACAGTATAAATACATGCAGTACCTGTGACCCCCTGCAGGTGGCAGTATAAAACAGTATAAGTACATGCAGTACCTGTGACCCCCCTGCAGGTGGCAGTATAAACAGTATAAGTACATGCAGTACCTGTGACCCCCCTGCAGGTGGCAGTATAAACAGTATAAATACATGCAGTACCTGTGACCCCCCTGCAGGTGGCAGTATAAACAGTATAAGTACATGCAGTACCTGTGACCCCCCCTGCAGGTGGCAGTATAAACAGTATAAGTACATGCAGTACCTGTGACCCCCTTGCAGGTGGCGCTGCACTTGTCATCCTCCTCGAAGTTGTTCCCGCCGCCCTCACAGCCTCCGTAGGTGAAGCGAGAGCACTTCCTGTTCAGAGGGTCGTAGAACCAGCGCGTGAAGCTGGCCCGACACGGCCCGGTGAGGGGGGGCTCGGCACAGCGTGCTGGGGGTAGCATGGAGCGCGTTAGCATGGAGCACGTTAGCATGGAGCACGATAGCATGGAGCACGTTAGCATGGAGCACGATAGCATGGAGCATGTTAGCATGGAGCACATTAGCATGGAGCACATTAGCATGGAGCACAACAGCATGGAGCATGTAGCCTGTTAGCTTCAGGTGCTAGTGAATGTCAGCTGACCTTTTCTCTTGTTCACATCGATGTCCAGCAGACGGGTGAAGGTCTGGTTCACTGAGGAAGAGGAGGAGGAAGAGGAAGACGAGGAAGAGGGAGAAAGTGTGTATTTGCTCTTGTTGTCTATCTTTCTAGGGACCATCAGTCAAAGTGAGGACATTTATTCATTTGGAGTGTGTGTGTGTGTGTGTGTGTGTGTGTGTGTGTGTGTGTGTGTGTGTGTGTGTGTGTGTGTGTGTGTGTGTGTGTGTGTGTGTGTGTGTGTCAGCGTGTGTGTGTGTGGTGTGTGTCAGTAGTGTGTGTGTGTGTGTCAGCAGTGTGTGTGTGTGTGTGTGTGTCAGCAGTGTGTGTGTGTCAGCAGTGTGTGTGTGTGTGTGTGTGTGTGTGTGTGTGTGTGTGTGTGTCAGCAGTGTGTGTGTGTCAGCAGTGTGTGTGTGTGTGTGTGTGTGTCAGCTGTGTGTGTGTGTGTGTGTGTGTGTGTGTGTGTGTGTCAGCAGTGTGTGTGTGTCAGCAGTGTGTGTGTGTGTGTGTGTCAGCAGTGTGTGTGTGTGTGTGTGTGTGTGTGTGTCAGCAGTGTGTGTGTGTGTGTCAGCAGTGTGTGTGTGTGTGTGTGTGTGTGGTGTGTGTCAGCAGTGTGTGTGTGTGTGGTGTGTGTGTGTCAGCAGTGTGTGTGTGTGTGTCAGCAGTGTGTGTGTGTGTGTGTGTGTGTGTGTCAGCAGTGTGTGTGTGTGTGTGTGTGTGTGTGTGTGTGTGTGTGTCAGCAGTGTGTGTGTGTGTGTGTGTCAGCAGTGTGTGTGTGTGTCAGCAGTGTGTGTGTATGTCAGCAGTGTGTGTGTGTGTGTGTGTATGTCAGCAGTGTGTGTGTGTGTGTGTGTATGTCAGCAGTGTGTGTGTGTGTGTGTGTATGTCAGCAGTGTGTGTGTGTGTGTGTGTATGTCAGCAGTGTGTGTGTGTGTGTGTGTATGTCAGCAGTGTGTGTGTGTGTGTGTATGTCAGCAGTGTGTGTGTGTGTGTGTGTGTGTCAGCAGTGTGTGTGTGTGTGTGTGTGTGTGTGTGGTCAGCAGTGTGTGTGTGTGTCAGCAGTGTTGGGGGTGTGTGTGTGTCAGCAGTGTTGTGATGGGTTGTCAGCAGTGTGTGATGTGTGTGTGTCAGCAGTGTGTGTGTGTGTGTGTGTGTGTCAGCAGTGTATGTGTGTGTGTTTGTGTCAGCAGTGTGTGTGTGTGTGTGTGTGTGGTGTGGTCAGCAGTGTGTAGTGTGTGTGTTTTGGTGTCGCAGTGTGGGTGTTGTTGGGTGTCAGGCAGTGTTTCGTTGTGTTGTGGTTGTGTGTGTGTGAGGTGTGTCTGTGTGTGTGTGTGTGTCAGCAGTGTGTGTGTGTGTGTGTGTGTGTGTGTGTCAGCAGTGTGTGTGTGTGTGTTTGTGTCAGCAGTGTGTGTGTGTGTGTGTCAGCAGTGTGTGTGTGTGTGTGTGTGTGTGTGTCAGCAGTGTGTGTGTGTGTGTTTGTGTCAGCAGTGTGTGTGTGTGTGTCAGCAGTGTGTGTGTGTGTGTGTGTGTGTGAGCAGTGTGTGTGTGTGTGTGTGTGTGTGTGTGTGTGTATTACGTTGGCTGCAGGGCTCCTCGTCCTCCCCCCCGCTGCACTGCGCCACCCCGTCACACTCCAGACTGGGATCCAGACAGCAGTCTCCACAGGTCAGCTGACCAGGACGACACTCCCCTCCACACTCTGCACACACACACACACACACACACACACACACACACGTTTATCCCGAGTACCCTATAGAGAGGCGAAGTCCCTCCCCTTCCGGTGGACCTCCATGGGACCTTATTTCGGAAAAGTTATGCATTGAAGTCAATGGAGAGAGAAAGATTATCTTTCGATCCCGTTTGAATTGTGCCACGAATTACACACATGATGTTTGTCAATTTAAAAGATAATTTTGCAAGTCAAAAAAATAAACTGTGAAGTAACACATTTGTTTGTGTGAAACGCTCAATGAACTACATCTCTGGTCAACAACACACGTCACCAAGATGGCCGTCACTACTGTCTTGTCAACAAAACGATTGACTACCCTCACTATCACCACAATGAAACACGTCCTGAAGAATGTCATGCAAAGCTGCCTGCCTGCCTTCCTTTGATTCTCTCTGAACTGCCTGGTCGTTTTAATGTTTAATGTCAACCATTTGTGCAGATAGCATGAAGTAGAGAAGATCGCTAGCGTTAGCGTTAGCATTTCTCCCCCGGGCTTAAATTGTGTATTATAGAATGATCACACCGGTGACAGTACTCTTCAAAGGGTTCACGAAATATGACTACTACTCTTACTGTTTAACATTTTGGGTTACTTCATGTTACTTCATGTTAAGGCTAATAAAAATGACAAGGCTGTAATGCTAACTAACGTGCTAGCTACTAGCTAGGTAGCTAACTTGATCAAGCCACTCCTGGTCCTTTCATCAGACGGGAAGCGAAAGAACAAGCAAGACCCATTGCTGGTATAACAACCTGGTACTAAGCACACAGGCATCTTGTTAAAGTTATCTTATCTTAGCCAGCGCCATATAGATAGATTATATCTATATGGCGCTGATCTTAGCTATCTCTTAGTGGAGGAAAACAATTGTGACATCACTTACGCGACTCTGGGATTTGTAGTCTTTCTAGTTGCGTATTTTTCATAGTCTTATATTTCAACAGTTTTACGACAAACTGTGACTTTTTTGACTTGGAAATTATTTTTTAAGATTGACAAACATCATATGTGTAATTCATGGCACAATTCAAACGGGATCCAAAGATACGTTTTCTCTCTCCATTGACTTCAATGCATAATTTTTCCGAAGTAAGGTCCCATGGGGCGGAAGTAAGTGGGCGTGACTTCGCCACTCTATAACATGTTGCAGAGCACAGGTGCATTGTGGGTACTGACCGACAGCTGGCAGAGAACTCCTTTCAGACGGCGCTGCGGATGACAAACAAGTATCATCAGTATTACAAGTACTGTGTGTACTACTACAAGTACTGTGTGTACTACTACAAGTACTGTGTGTACTACTACAAGTACTGTGTGTACTACTAGAAGTACTGTGTTTACTACTACAAGTACTGTGTGTACTACTACAAGTACTGAGTATACTACTAGAAGTACTGTGTGTACTACTACAAGTACTGTGTGTACTACTACAAGTACTGAGTATACTACTAGAAGTACTGTGTGTACTACTACAAGTACTGTGTGTACTACTACAAGTACTGAGTATACTACTACAAGTACTGTGTGTACTACTACAAGTACTGTGTGTACTACTACAAGTACTGAGTGTACTACTAGAAGTACTGTGTTTACTACTACAAGTACTGTGTGTACTACTACAAGTACTGAGTATACTACTAGAAGTACTGTGTGTACTACTACAAGTACTGTGTGTACTACTACAAGTACTGTGTGTACTACTACAAGTACTGAGTGTACTACTAGAAGTACTGTGTGTACTACTACAAGTACTGTGTGTACTACTACAAGTACTGTGTGTACTACTACAAGTACTGTGCGTACTACTTCAAGTACTGAGTGTACTACAACAAGTACTGAGCGTACTACTATAAGTACTGTGCGTATTACTTCAAGTACTGAGTGTACTACAACAAGTACTGAGTGTACTACTACAAGTACTGTGCATACTACTTCAAGTACTGAGTGTACTACTACAAGTACTGTGCGTACTACTACAAGTACTGTGTGTACTACTACAAGTACTGAGTATACTACTAGAAGTACTGTGTGTACTACTACAAGTACTGTGTGTACTACTACAAGTACTGTGTGTACTACTACAAGTACTGAGTATACTACTAGAAGTACTGTGTGTACTACTACAAGTACTGTGTGTACTACTACAAGTACTGTGTGTACTACTACAAGTACTGAGTATACTACTAGAAATACTGTGTGTACTACTACAAGTACTGAGTATACTACTAGAAGTACTGAGTGTACTACAACAAGTACTGAGCGTACTACTATAAGTACTGTGCGTATTACTTCAAGTACTGAGTGTACTACAACAAGTACTGAGTGTACTACTACAAGTACTGTGCATACTACTACAAGTACTGAGTATACTACTAGAAGTACTGTGTGTACTACTACAAGTACTGTGTGTACTACTACAAGTACTGAGTATACTACTAGAAGTACTGTGTGTACTACTACAAGTACTGTGTGTAGTACTACAAGTACTGAGTATACTACTAGAAGTACTGTGTGTACTACTACAAGTACTGTGTGTACTACTACAAGTACTGAGTATACTACTAGAAATACTGTGTGTACTACTACAAGTACTGAGTATACTACTAGAAGTACTGTGTGTACTACTACAAGTACTGTGTGTACTACTACAAGTACTGTGTGTACTACTACAAGTACTGAGTATACTACTAGAAATACTGTGTGTACTACTACAAGTACTGAGTATACTACTAGAAGTACTGTGTGTACTACTACAAGTACTGTGTGTACTACTACAAGTACTGTGTGTACTACTACAAGTACTGAGTATACTACTAGAAGTACTGTGTGTACTACTACAAGTACTGTGTGTACTACTACAAGTACTGTGTGTACTACTTCAAGTACTGAGTGTACTACTACAAGTACTGTGTGTACTACAACAAGTACTGAGTATACTACTAGAAGTACTGTGTGTACTACTACAAGTACTGTGTGTACTACTACAAGTACTGTGTGTACTACTACAAGTACTGTGCGTACTACTACAAGTACTGAGTATACTACTAGAAGTACTGTGTGTACTACTACAAGTACTGTGTGTACTACTACAAGTACTGTGTGTACTACTACAAGTACTGTGTGTACTACTACAAGTACTGAGTATACTACTAGACATACTGTGTGTACTACTACAAGTACTGAGTATACTACTAGAAGTACTGTGTGTACTACTACAAGTACTGTGTGTACTACTACAAGTACTGTGTGTACTACTACAAGTACTGAGTATACTACTAGAAATACTGTGTGTACTACTACAAGTACTGAGTATACTACTAGAAGTACTGTGTGTACTACTACAAGTACTGTGTGTACTACTAGAAGTACTGTGTTTACTACTACAAGTACTGTGTGTACTACTACAAGTACTGAGTATACTACTAGAAGTACTGTGTGTACTACTACAAGTACTGTGTGTACTACTACAAGTACTGAGTATACTACTAGAAGTACTGTGTGTACTACTACAAGTACTGTGTGTACTACTACAAGTACTGAGTATACTACTACAAGTACTGTGTGTACTACTACAAGTACTGTGTGTACTACTACAAGTACTGAGTGTACTACTAGAAGTACTGTGTTTACTACTACAAGTACTGTGTGTACTACTACAAGTACTGAGTATACTACTAGAAGTACTGTGTGTACTACTACAAGTACTGTGTGTACTACTACAAGTACTGTGTGTACTACTACAAGTACTGAGTGTACTACTAGAAGTACTGTGTGTACTACTACAAGTACTGTGTGTACTACTTCAAGTACTGAGTGTACTACTACAAGTACTGTGCGTACTACTTCAAGTACTGAGTGTACTACAACAAGTACTGAGCGTACTACTATAAGTACTGTGCGTATTACTTCAAGTACTGAGTGTACTACAACAAGTACTGAGTGTACTACTACAAGTACTGTGCATACTACTTCAAGTACTGAGTGTACTACTACAAGTACTGTGCGTACTACTACAAGTACTGTGTGTACTACTACAAGTACTGAGTATACTACTAGAAGTACTGTGTGTACTACTACAAGTACTGTGTGTACTACTACAAGTACTGTGTGTACTACTACAAGTACTGAGTATACTACTAGAAATACTGTGTGTACTACTACAAGTACTGAGTATACTACTAGAAGTACTGTGTGTACTACTACAAGTACTGTGTGTACTACTACAAGTACTGTGTGTACTACTACAAGTACTGAGTATACTACTAGAAATACTGTGTGTACTACTACAAGTACTGAGTATACTACTAGAAGTACTGAGTGTACTACAACAAGTACTGAGCGTACTACTATAAGTACTGTGTTTACTACTACAAGTACTGTGTGTACTACTACAAGTACTGAGTATACTACTAGAAGTACTGTGTGTACTACTACAAGTACTGTGTGTACTACTACAAGTACTGAGTATACTACTAGAAGTACTGTGTGTACTACTACAAGTACTGTGTGTACTACTACAAGTACTGAGTATACTACTACAAGTACTGTGTGTACTACTACAAGTACTGTGTGTACTACTACAAGTACTGAGTGTACTACTAGAAGTACTGTGTTTACTACTACAAGTACTGTGTGTACTACTACAAGTACTGAGTATACTACTAGAAGTACTGTGTGTACTACTACAAGTACTGTGTGTACTACTACAAGTACTGTGTGTACTACTACAAGTACTGAGTGTACTACTAGAAGTACTGTGTGTACTACTACAAGTACTGTGTGTACTACTTCAAGTACTGAGTGTACTACTACAAGTACTGTGCGTACTACTTCAAGTACTGAGTGTACTACAACAAGTACTGAGCGTACTACTATAAGTACTGTGCGTATTACTTCAAGTACTGAGTGTACTACAACAAGTACTGAGTGTACTACTACAAGTACTGTGCATACTACTTCAAGTACTGAGTGTACTACTACAAGTACTGTGCGTACTACTACAAGTACTGTGTGTACTACTACAAGTACTGAGTATACTACTAGAAGTACTGTGTGTACTACTACAAGTACTGTGTGTACTACTACAAGTACTGTGTGTACTACTACAAGTACTGAGTATACTACTAGAAATACTGTGTGTACTACTACAAGTACTGAGTATACTACTAGAAGTACTGTGTGTACTACTACAAGTACTGTGTGTACTACTACAAGTACTGTGTGTACTACTACAAGTACTGAGTATACTACTAGAAATACTGTGTGTACTACTACAAGTACTGAGTGTACTACTAGAAGTACTGAGTGTACTACAACAAGTACTGAGCGTACTACTATAAGTACTGTGCGTATTACTTCAAGTACTGAGTGTACTACAACAAGTACTGAGTGTACTACTACAAGTACTGTGCATACTACTACAAGTACTGAGTATACTACTAGAAGTACTGTGTGTACTACTACAAGTACTGTGTGTACTACTACAAGTACTGAGTATACTACTAGAAGTACTGTGTGTACTACTACAAGTACTGTGTGTACTACTACAAGTACTGAGTATACTACTAGAAGTACTGTGTGTACTACTACAAGTACTGTGTGTACTACTACAAGTACTGAGTATACTACTAGAAATACTGTGTGTACTACTACAAGTACTGAGTATACTACTAGAAGTACTGTGGTGTACTACTACAAGTACTGTGTGTACTACTACAAGTACTGTGTGTACTACTACAAGTACTGAGTTATATACTAGAAGTACTGTGTGTACTACTACAAGTACTGTGTGTACTACTACAAGTACTGAGTATACTACTAGAAGTACTGTGTGTACTACTACAAGTACTGTGTGTACTACTACAAGTACTGAGTATACTACTAGAAGTACTGTGTGTACTACTACAAGTACTGTGTGTTACTACTACAAGTACTGAGTATACTACTAGAAATACTGTGTGTACTACTACAAGTACTGAGTATACTACTAGACAGTACTGTGTGTACTACTACAAGTACTGTGTGTACTACTACAAGTACTGTGTGTACTACTACAAGTACTGAGTATACTACTAGAAATACTGTGTGTACTACTACAAGTACTGAGTATACTACTAGAAGTACTGTGTGTACTACTACAAGTACTGTGTGTACTACTACAAGTACTGTGTGTACTACTACAAGTACTGAGTATACTACTAGAAAGTACT